CTGTGTATTTTTAGTTGTCCAATTAATTTCTTTCTAATTTTAGTAGAGACGGGGTCTCGCTCTTGCTCAGGCTGGTTTCAAACTCCTGAGTTCAAACAATCCGCTCGCTTAGGATTACAGGCGTGAGCCACCGCACCCAGCCTAGAACAGTTCTTACCTGCTGGTGATTTTGCCTCTCAGAGGACATTTGGCAGTATCTGGAGATATTTTTGGTCGTCACAATTTCGGGGTAGGGTGGGTATGTGTTACTCAGGCAAGTATTGGGTAGAGGCAGGTCTGCTGCTAAACATCCTACCGTGCACACACAACAGACCCCCCACAAAATTTCCTATAAAGACCCCTTTCTGGCATCCTGGAATGTATCCTGGTGATGAATGTATTACTTCCACGCTTGTGATAAAAGTTTTTGACAAAGATGCACACTCTCCCATGTTGGTTACAGTAATATATTTTAAGGGCTGGAATTTTTCTTGCATTGTGTAGGTGATGTGATTATTCTTATTCACAGAATTCAGACATGGCTCAGTTTCTTAGCATGGACAATCACGTATAGTTTTGATGACATTTTAAAAGTAGTAAATTTTTATTCCAAAATCTTCTGTTTTGTTATGTGATAAATTATATTTTATTTAAACTCTAAACAATGTGATTTTCCTACTGTATCTTTTTATTTAGGAAACTTTTAACTATAGAGATAACGTGTCATGGTAGAATAAGCATGGGCCCTGCACCCAACACCAGGCTGGGTTTGACTCAGTTTCAGTCTTTACTTGCAGTGAGTACTTACTTAGTATCTTGGACTCTGTCTAATGATGGACCTCATAATCTTTGCTTATTTTTTGTGAGAAATGGCGATAATGATTGTAGAAGGCTTGTCTTGTACCACACTTTTAATAAATGGCAGTTCTTATTTATTAAAGTTCTTCCTTTATTGTAGGACATTTTCTACATTGAAAATCAAAAGGAATATGAAAATAAAAAAGCTGCTAGAAAGCGGAGAACACAAGTGTTGGGGAAAAAGATGAAACAAGCTATTAAAAGTCTAAATTTTCAAGAAGATGATGATACATCACGAGAAACTTTTGCAAGTGACACAAATGAGGCCCTGGCCTCTCTTGATGAGTCACAGGAAGGACACGGAGAGGCCAAGTTGGATGCAGAGGAAGCCATTGAAGTTGATCATTCTCATGATGTGGACATCTTTTAAGTATATTTTGGACATTTTGAGGAATAAACCTTTCTAAAATAACATTGTAATAAAACATTTCTACTGAGATTGCTACATTTTAGTTTGCACTGATAAACCTGAGAATCTGGAGAAGAGAGAATTGTTTTCTTGTTTTAAATAAAAATTAGTACATGTGGGGAGATGAATGTGATTGATAGGAACATTTAAAAATGTCTCATGTCTGACAAAATACTTAAGAGTACATAGCACAGGATTTAATTTCTCAATCTGTTGCACTTGCTAAGTATTATGAGAATTATTAGTGGATAATCAGTTTTGTCCAGGTCATTATAACATGCCATTCAAAAGTTTATTTGCGGCCGGGCGCGGCGGCTCACGCCTGTAATCCTAGCTCTCTGGGAGGCTGAGGCGGGCGGATTGTTTGAGCTCAGGAGTTCAGAGGTTGCTGTGAGCTATGATGACACCACGGCACTCTAGCCCGGGCAACACAGTGAGACTCTGTCTCAAAAAAAAAAAAAAAAATGTTTATTTGCTCTTTCCGATTTATCTTTGCAGTGTGAATTATGGTTTGGTTTCAAAACATTCCACTAAAAGATCCTAATGGGACATAAAAATTATTAAACTGTTACAAGTGCATTCAAGTTTCTTTTTTCTGTGTTCTGAGAACTCTTAGGCAATTTTAAGGATAGAGACTAAGAGTTAATACTGATGGCTCTTCCCACTTGTTTGTCCAGAAGTAAATAAATGTCTGAAGTTTCTCAAAGAAGTATTTAGTCTTAACTTTGTTTTTGACTTCTTAAGTTGATCATATACTAAATACTGAATGTGACTTGTATATTATCATGGACATTTAAAAAAAATTCCCAGTGGCAGCCTGCCTAAGACTATTTTACCTTATGTTAAGGAAGTTCTTTATTTAAAATATCACATCTGCATGACTTACTCATTTTTATTAATGAAGAAAATATGCGTAGTTTAGATGTTTCAGGAGTTAACTATAGTTAACAAAATACATTTAAGGAAAAATGTGCTTAATATATTAAGCAAAAATTTTGTAATGTTAAGCAAAAATGTAAAATTCAACAATAGTTTTTATCAATAAACTATTCTTTATGGACAACAAAGTTTTTCAGTAGTTCTTAAAAATATGGTCATTGAAGTTGTATCTAAGGAAAATGATTATTAGTTGCTTTTAATTTATAAAGAATACAAAAGTAAAATTAGATTTTTGGCAGTCCTTAATGAGCTTCAAGTGACTTTGTTTTTTTAATCTCAAATATTCTTTGATAAAATTGCTATAACCAAGGGAAGAAAAATATTTTAAATAGATAACTGGGTATCATCGCTAACTGAGATCTATGAGAGGTGATTTTAAAGATAAAGTACATTAAGAAAGTCAACATTCAGAATATTTACATGCCACATATTAATGTAAATATTGCTAAAATTTCTAGTGAAAGTTATGGTTTTTAAAGGGCATTGATGCCTGAGGCTGTTTTATCATCTTTAAAATTGATCCTTAACCCCACTTTGGTGGGTTTTTTGTTTTGTTTTGGTTTTTAGAGACAGGGTCTCACTTTGTTGCCCAGGCTGTAGTATAGTGGCATGATCATAGCTCCCTGTAATCTCAAATTCCCGGGCTCAAGGGATTCTCCCACCTCAACCTCCCAAAGCACTGAGATTATATACACGAACCACGGCATCTGGCCTGTGGCTCGTTTTTATCAGTTGTTTCTTTCACATTTGGAAACCACACAGATTTCTGACTTGTATTGCATCCTACTGTCATACAGAAACCAATGCTTCAGTTTTTAAGGTTCATTAAAAATTTATCTAAGATTTCTCTAACCCTTTCTGCCTATCCAAATCTAGATGTCCAAACTATTCCCAGGTGTGTATTCAGTTAATACTCCTCACCAAATCAGCATATCTTGCAGTAATTCTTCCTGGTCAACCTAACACTTTTTACTTTCCAGCTAGTGGAATTTACACTAATAACCCTCCACCTCTCTGTCATAGTAATGTAAGTGCTCATTCTCACCTGTAATCTTTATTAAAATGAATTTTTATAATCTAGAATATTCTCCAATATAACAAACCCTAGGGGATAAAATAGGTTGGATGGGTCTGTGTTTAAGCAAATTTGATTTACACTCAAAAAGTGTGTGTCTAAGTGGTAGAAAGGTGGTGAAACAAATGGGACACGCATCAACCATGTGTAGTGCACAGTGATTCTGAGCATTTTTCCATGTACCTGTTGGCTACTTGTATGTCTTTTGATAAATGTCTGTTAAGATCTTTTGCCCATTTTTTTTTTTTTTGAGACAGAGTCTCGCTTTGTTGCCCGGGCTAGAGTGAGTGCCGTGGCGTCAGCCTAGCTCACAGTAACCTCAAACTCCTGGGCTCAAGC